TGCAACATGGCTAATAGTAATTCCACTGCTATGGTGTGGTATGTAGTAGGAGAATACTGTGGAGATCTCATAGGCCTCATAGCTGCAGCATGCTGAATACAATCAGATCACCCTATGTAACACTACCTTGGCCTTTTCAGTATTTCCTGTAACATTCAGACTTTCCCATGACCATGCTATTTTATTTGCATTTTATTTGCAAAAGAATGACCAACTCAAATCTGACCCACTCAAAAGAAAAAAAAAAAAAGACCAAACAAACCCCAAAAAACCCACCCCAAATCCTTTGGCCCCCAAAACCCTAAACCCCAGATATATAGAGATTTTTTCATGTCAATTTTTTATAACCAGGAGACCCAATTCTGCTCACTGTTACGATTCTACTGACTACAGTCAAGTTTTCATGATTTACATTCCTTCAATGTAAAATTAGTCTCAGTGGGGGGCTTAAAAATGATGAAACGAAACTCCTGATTAAACAACCAAAAATAATTCTAAATAGATTACAAATTCTTTCACTTAAAATCCTGAATGATAGGATTCTGAAATTAATGGCATCCATGTGTCAGTGTCACCCCATCTGCCAATGACAACTAGTTGAAAGTCCACGCAGCATTTCACACCACATTATATAGCAGCAGTTTTGTTCTTCATTTAGAAAGGAAGGTTTGCTATAATGGAATCAAACTGGAGGCTGAGTTACACAGAGAGAAACAGCTGAATGCCTTGGATTGATCTCTCTCTTACTTGCAGAAAGTGAAGTGGCATCTTTGGTTATAAGGCATCCAGATCTTGATACCACATCTTGTGTGAGATATCTGCCTATTCTTTACCATAATACCTATTACAGTCATGCTGGGATATTGACTTTCTGTGAATCAAAGGATAAAAAGTGCCCCCATTTCCAAATTACCAATGATAATTGCTTTGCTGTAGCTGTTATCTTTTTTAAAACAATGTACAAATAGGAATTAAATGAGATCAGAATTAAAATTATGCTACGATGTTAAACTACCATGTAGAGTAAAATGGTTCCCTATATTTAAGCACCTTTCACTTGCAAGTGCAAGACACTGAATTAAGACTGTAGTCTAGGGCTGAGATTGAGGCAGCTTAGAGTATTTTCAATAACAAAGTCTGACTCAAAGAAAACTCTACTCTGAAGCAAAGACCAATCATGTAAGTATATTCTCTGTGGCGTGGGTGTTTTAACATGATTGTGGTCCTGACAGAATTAAAGTTGGATCACTTCTTTAAAACTGGAGTTAAGCCTTAAAAATTAATGAAGTCATCATTATTTTAAATTTCCTGTTTAGGCTGATGAACCTGTAAGTATCATCTGTGTGATGACAACCACAGAGTGACCTTTTGGGAATAATGTCTCCCATGCCCACAATTCCCCTTACTAAAACTTGTCCATTGTACCATCTGAGGTGGACCACAGCCTTTGTCCCCATCAAGCAATAAAACAATACTTTTCATTATCTACTTGCCCTCCATCAGGGTGAAAAACAGTGATTAGCTTCACATGTTCCTCCAAACCCAACACGTCTACCAAATCACCAGTTCACCAAATCACAAGTTTACCAGAAAAGAATAGAAAATGAGCAACATAAAAATATATATTGCAAAGAAAACATTCAAAATGGGTCACTGACTACTGGGAGTCTAGCTTGGAACATACCAGGCCCTAATTTCCACTAGTTTTGAAAATATAAAAGATTAAGGAATCTAAAATCAAAGGCTATACTGGAAATGGCCTATTGACTTTTACAACTACAGTGCAAGTTTCATTATCTCAGCCTCAGATTGTGGCTACATACACCCGAGATCGCATAATTTCAGACCTCTCAGAACCCTGGCAAATTTCTCTGCCTCTCACAAAGTTTCAGCATTGCAGACAATAGCGTGAGGTGCAAGGCATAAATTGAACATTACCAGAAGACGTATACTGTTCTCCCACAAGAGAACATCCATGGCCAGAGACTCTTCATGCTTTTTCTCACTTGTTCAAAATGTCTGTGTTAGCATTAAGAACTATGTCATCCTCTGGTCAATGCAGAGACACTATTAGCTTTCCTTCTATTTCCGTTGCATGTCAGAAAATCTCTCATATTTACTTTTGAGGCAAAGTTACATTGGTCAAGCCCCTATGAAGCACTCACTTCTCACTAATAATTTCAAACATTCTCAATATCTATCTCGTCTAAGGGAATACCACTCCTTGGCCTCTAGAGATTATATTTATATTATTTTGATTCTTTCAGTACTACTTTAATGTGACTAGAATAATTAACTTCTGGCTTAATTGTTGCTATTGACTGGACTCTCCTCTCTGCCCCAGCAATAGAGGATAGCACCAGGTGGCGTGTCAGAGTGGAGGCACTGGGGGGAATCCTTTGCTTGGCTACTAAGTCCTGCCCCACCACTCTGGCAGAGCGCAGGGGAACGCCTGGGCAGTGCAGCGCCAGCCACTGTGACCCTATGCAACCATGCAGGCAGTTAGCTTGTGCTGCATCTAGTTTGGCCATACTGCTCGGTCTTTCTATGACCCAGTGTAAAGGCTTTTGAAGTGAAAAAGAGGCTTTTGTTCCTGCATTAATTACAGAGCACAGTCTTCGCAGGATCTTTGTGGAAATTTCCTGGTCTGTTTTCCCTTTGCCAATCTACTACGGAGAACGGGCAGCCTGTGCTATTAGAGAGCTGGATAACAAGATATGAGTGTATAGTCTGCTTGATTAATACAGAAATATGTAAACTCATATCAACCATTTTTTTCCCATTTGTGTTCTGTCCCCCCTTGACTGCACTAGAGCCTCACCTATGGAGGCCTTTAAGACAAATAAACAGCCTGTCCTTCCCTATGTGCTTAAGCCTGGATACCAAACTCCCTCCTTCAGCAAACATCAACACTGCTTCATAACTGGGTCACAGACCAGTGCAGAAACCTGTCACATTCCCTTCCCCGTTGGCCTCTGTGTTCCAGGTCCGCAGCACTACCACCAGGCTGACAGTTCTGCCTGTAATGTAACTTAAAGAGAATTCAAAATCAATCTGTAACATTGGAGAATAATGTTTCACTATGAAAAATAACCGTCTTTGCATTGTTTGGACCACCTAGTGGACACCTTTTTTGTGCGTGTGAATAACAGCTTATGCAGCCCTACATTATAAAACACATATATTTTATACATGTGTTCTTATTCCAAAAAGATATTTGCTATTTCACTTGGTTTTCACAATAGGTCTAACAATATTCTCTTCTGAAAGGTATACTTCACACAGTAAGACTGAATAAAGGTTGAGCAGTGTGTGAAAGCATCTGAATTCCCAAATGCAAACCTTGCTTTTAAAAGTACCCAAGGAAGTTATTATTCTTAAGCAGGTTTACTTCCTTAATAGTTACCCAGTGAAGTGTGATTTATACGATCATCTATCTGAATATCTTCATGCTTAATTAGGAAATTCCGTACTTCTCTGTATTTGCATGCTTACTCATTTACACATATATGTTTCTTAAATAGTTCAGATCAATGTTGCATTTATCTCTTCTTCAAATTCTATTCATCACTTCACATTTTTTGAAGTGTCTCTAAATTACTGGCTAATGGCTTTGAATCACATGCTTGCTAAGGGTGTAATTCTGCCAGTTTTACTCTCTCCAATTGTTTCACCTCAGACACAATGTCTTTCCTTTCAAGGAGACTAGTTGCAGGGTAATATACAATATCCAGTGAGAGTAAGGATGACAGATTCGGGCCCTGACTGCTTTCCTCAAAAGGATTTGCTGCAATGAAGATATTTCTGTTTGACAGGTTTATTGTTTAACGTAATATTTTAAGATAGTAATGCACACATCCCCTGCAGTACCACACCATGGATTCAAAACCCATATGGACAGAAATGCGTGAAGAGAGAATAATGGATTTCTCAACCTGCTGTGTTTACATGCTATTCTGTTTTTAGCATGGAAAACACATTATGCCTGTGTAGAAGACTAAAAACATAAAATCTGCATTATTTCCTGTAACAGAAGGATCTTCCTATAAATACCTATCTTCTTACCCTTACACTGTAAATCGTTTAACTGAACTCTGTAAAGTTGAACCACATAAATTGCAGAATTAGGGCTCAAGTATTCAGATAATTTTTATAGACTTAGAAGATGCAAGATGTCCCATTAAATATATAAACAGAAATGTTAATGTATGGCACAAAATTATAAACAACTAATTTTCAGTAATAACCTCGAAATTAATGTATTATCATTTATATTTTGGCTCTAGTTACAGATATCACATTACCAACCTACTTCATCTTAAACTGTGGAAGGTATTCTACGATCCAGTATTAAAGCCTATGCACGGATTTGCAAGGACACAATGACTATAATAACAGAGAAAAGTATTCTGATATGCAATGGTTTCCTGGAATATTCAAAGATAAACCGGTTAAAACTCATCAAATGTCATAATGTTTTACTTCAAGTTTTTAAATCGTTACTGACCATGGCAAAAATAATGTGTCAGCAAATAAAATAAAAAAACCACATTGCATAGATTGTAGAATTACTGCAGACTTTCCTGTGTTGCTGACTGAATCTTTGTGCATGTGAACAAACAAGTTGTCTTTCATTCTGCCAAACATGAGAGACTTCATTACTGTCTTCCACTTTTGACGCTGGAAGGCAAAGGAAAGCTGAAGCTCTTGAAAATCAATTTGATTTCATTAAAAGGGTAGTTTGAGATTATTAACCACATTTTTAATAGTAACTATATTTTAAAAATCTTTATACTTCTGCCCCTGTAATTCAGGTACTTAAGGGCTTTTTTATATTTCCAGGTTGAAAATGTGTAGAAGAAAGTTAGTTCCTTTATATTTCCTGCTTTCCAAGGGATTGTTAAAAGACCTCATCCATATATAAAGCAAGTTACACGCTGACAACATGTAGCTTATAAGTGGTAAATGAAAGATCTCTGTTACTTTACTATATTTCTTACCTCCTTTTTTATGGGATCTCAAGGGACTTGACAACCGATGGTCTGCAACTGACTGTGATTGGCTAATTGATTGTGAATCATTCATTTCGAACGAATGTTTTAGAATAAATGGAGAAGCAGAAATCTCATCCAAATCCTTCTGGAATAAAGAATGCTGGTTTAGGCACATAAGAAATATATTGATTCCACTCTGCCATGATAACTTATAGTTGTGATCTCACAGAGAGCATCTTCTTATTTTCTATGACTCTGTGAAACGTCTAATGCTAGATTTAAGTTACACGAGATTCATGTGGCTTTCAGCAACACCGACTTAGCACCCATGTCACAAACATTTGTTTACTTTTTCCATTTAACTTATTTATCCCCTTTCCTCATGCAGTTAAATCGTAGCATGCACTGTATGCTGATTTCCTCTCATAGTTAATTTGTATCTTTAGAAAAAAGCTATAGGAAGGTATTAATCTGCTTAACATTTCTAAGTACATCATCCAAGGGATTTTGTTTTTTTAATCTTACATATGCTCAGCAGAGTTACTGGCAAAAACTGTACATTTTCTCCATTTCATCCTTTCAACATCAAATGGTAAGCAGCAAAAATTGGATCAGACTTCAAAGACTATGCTGTGCTCCAAGTCACAGAGCGACTCCTCCATTTCACATATTGAATTCGAGCAGGATATCAAAGTGCTACCAAAGAACCTCAGGTCCTTACTAAAAAAGAGTCTCTAACATCTGTAGAAAGTGAAGTGCACAGACAAATCACCTCAGGGAGCAGCTAGCATTTATTCTCAGCAGCAAATTTCCAGCCTTTTGATTCTCTTATTCACTGTACCTCCCTGTCTTTCTACAGAACTAAAGTTCTTAGCAAGCAGGCTTTTGTCTCAAAGACTTCAAAACATCACTAACGGTTTCATGTTCAGATGGCTATGCCAAGCAGCCATGAACACATTGCAGAACTGTGGACTCAGGAATTTGAAGTTATAATGTGATGTTATTTTAGAACATAAACTTAGTAGTACCTTTTTTGTTTGTTTGACAAGAAAATCAGGCACCACAGGAGGAGACTGGTTACTGGTTTGCTGCCTAAAAGCAAAGAAAAATAAAAAATTTAGTTTAAATATTATAATTTCTTCATTCTTAGAAAAGGTTTACTGGCATACACATTTTTTGTTGATTTTCCCTTTTCCCCCTCCCCCAATTTCTAAATATGCACATACGATCAATTCAGAAAAAACACAGAGCAGTCCCATTTCCTCTTATAAGGAAGTGCATGTTATTAAATACAGTAACAGGCTATGAGCAATGAATTTGTCATTAAAAATTTGTGGATACTTGCATACGTGTAAAATGAGTTTATGAGAATACTATGAAATTGAAGTCATGTATTAAAATTAATTTGACAAGATTTGACATGAAACTTTTTTTTTTCCAGGGCTGTGAAAAGCTGTTTTCACAGAATTCAAACTCAAAATTTGGCAAATGGGGAAGAATTGAAACACGTGGCTTTGTGTTCTCCTAAAGCCATTTGGGTTAAGCACAGAGCAAGGAGTAAGAGTTCTTAGATTCTTTGTCTATATCTGTTATTATTTTACCATCACATTATGTCACCGTACAAATATTAAAGGCCAACTCCTGCTCTCGTTAATGCTAATTAAAGTATCATAAAAACCTTCTGTAGGCCCTGATCCTTGTTGGCAGGCCTTTGAAGTCAATGCATCTCTTGAATAGTAAAGTCCACCCAGACAGAACTTGCTCCAGAATCTTTAGTTATGCAAAAACAAAAAAAAGACACTACCAATTTCATTTGGATAAAAAACGAGGTTCATAGAGATTATTTGATATGCTCATGGTTCTAAAACAGGATTAAAAGCAGGATTTTCTGATTGTCAAAACACGCCTCAGCCATTGCAGCATTACTCTCCAATCCCCTCACAACTTTTCTGAAAATACAATTAATGGCAGTTGTATTTCTACTTATAGATGAAAACCCTGAAATCTAAGTTTCAGTCACAGATTTTGGTTTAGACATATATATCACAGCTTTTTTCGTAGATGAGGAAAAGCTTTTCAAGGTACTAAGTAGCTCATTCAGTTTTACACAGTTATTACAATTGAATACATTTCAGCACTTTCAGTCACAGTGGGAGGGGGGACTATAAGGAACAAAAATTGCTTTACTGAGTAAAAAATACAACATCTGTTATCTCAATATTTTTTTTTTTGTCAATACTTATGTTTCAGTCAGCTATATTAGTTATAAATTACTCATGTAACAATAGAACACCATGTTGGACTAAAAAAGTCTGGCCACATGTGTATTTTACCTTTCAAAATAGACCTTTAAAATGTACCTTTTAAAAATACTTCAAACTGAAATAACACTACTGAAGGACCTGAAACATTTTAGACTATTATATATTGAATTTGATAGCTGTATATCACCACACAGATGTATTAGATAACACATTTATTCTGTGACATCCACAGAGGCTACTGAAGTATTTCAAGCTTTATTTGCAATAGGGTTTAAGCTCTTGGGTTAACTAAATTTGGCTGAATGTGTTAACCCAACTCAAAAGCGTTGTCTTGAATGGTTTCAAACGAATCACAACAATGACAACATCACAGTTGTCAATAAGCTATCTCAGGGTGTGGGAACAAAATGACGCATTCACGAACATGGTAAACATTCAACTTTTCTGTAATGCTGCAATTTCATGAATGAAGTTCGGATTTGCTTGTCAGTTTGGGGGAATTTAAATTCCCCTTTATTATTTGATACTAAGAAAGAGAAGGAAAACATTCTGACTAAACTGTGGTTTGAATTTAAACTGGTGTTTTCCTTGGAGGAAACGGAGGCATCCATTTTAAAAATGCATTCTTATTTTATGCTGGCACACTCCTTGTACAGGAACGTATAAAATATGTGTAGGACTGTATTCAACATTGCACTTGAGCAGTTCTGTGAAGTTCTTTATTACTATTTCTCTTCTATATATATTATTTCGATAACCATTTATTTAGTGGTATTAGTTAGATAACTTGCCACTTTTCCCCAAAATTACTCAAGCATTTGTTGAGATGAATCTTTCCCCCACTCCCCAATGTTGCAGAAAATAACCCCAATATGAGCTAAAAATAATGAAAAATCCTCAAGTATCACTGTGGTGGATGTCAAAATCAAAATCTGCTGTTAGATCAGTATGTTGCAAATGGCCTACAATGCCAAGATGGACTGAATCATCATCTAAATTTAAATTTTCAGATACTGGGGTGGTTTGGATCTGGATCTAAATATGCAGCTTGAAATAATTTCTACCTTCTATAAAAAGAATCTAGAATTTAGTATGGTTTTGCCATCACTTTAACTTTGCTGGGTCTAGAAAATTGTCTAAATGTTTGAAGCATGAAGGTAAAGTTTGGCAACTTGCCTTCTGTAGAGCTTAATGTAACAAAAATCAGCCTCTGGAATTCTGAAGCTCTTCGACCCTGACTCTGTCAGGATCGCAATAATGCTGTGTTTCCAACTAGAACAATCCTAAATTGGGTTCTATTTGGCTCAAGATACCCTATCTTTCCACAGAATGTACTGCTGCTGATATAAGTATGTACTTCATGATTACCAGCTTTTACTCAAGAGCATTTTGTTGAATTTTTCTCCCTCTGTCCTGTTGAGAAGGGGGAGTGACAGAGTGGCTTGGTGGGCACCCGGTGGGCAGCCAAGGTCAACCCACCACAATATCAAACCAGCAGAGAACACTTCTGAAAACATGGCATCGACTGTAGATGCTGATCACCTTGAAATCAGTCTCTGAGCTATTCTGAAAATCCATGCAATATGAAAAATGCAATAGCAACAGGAGGGTAGCTCAGCAGTAGTTAGTTCATATAAGCCAATCAGTGATGATAATTAACATTTTCAAAAGCGGCACCTGAGGCTAATTTTGAGGTGCAGGGTATTTTCAGGTATTTTGAAGGGACTGCTTGTCCTACGGTTTCCAAAAATTTTTATTTTCTATGTTTGCAGGAAAGCAGTGTTTGGATCGGAGTGATGAGATCCAGTCAGCACACTTACCTGGGAAGGATGCAAGAGATCCAGGTTCATGTGCCTGGTTTCAGTCGGGCAATACAACAATTTGCTGCTGAATGTTCAGCTACTGAGCTATAATACGCCTCAGTCTTCACATATGGGCTGTCTATAAATCACTCAATTAGCAAGAAACATTGACAAAAAGAGAAACACTGATTCTTAGGGTCTGTCTACACATCTGTATAGCCACACTATCCTTAGCACTGAAAGCAGTCAAACCACGGCAGCATAACACTAGTAGCGCAGACTAATTTTTGCTGGAGAAAAATGTCTAGTTTGGGAGTTATTCTGGCCATTATGAGTGAAAGTCATGGAATTTGAACTTTTTGTCATTTTAACACTGTCAAAAATGTTAGAAACTCTCCTAGATATTACACTAGGAAGAACACAGCTCACTTTGCATAAATGTATTCCTTAACAGAACAAATTTAATCCTTCCAGCTGGGTAGGTGAAAAATTCCGAAGGGATGGGGAGGACGAAGAAAAAAGATGACAATGAAAAATTCTGCCCAAATTTCCATTTACACCTTTATAAAACACGAGTAACTATTTGAACTTATGAACTGGAAAGTAATTAGAAGCTCATATGACAGCAGAATCAGGCCCAGTGGTTTCCACTGCATGCCACAGGAATTGCAGATCTCCTATTTCCATCACAAGCAATAACCTTAATGTTTTCTATGACTACAAATAGGAAAGTGAAGCAATTAAAGGAAAGCAGAATATCTTTATACCAGCTTTTACTGTGGACAGAAATGAAAACTCATATTCAAAAGATGACTTATACAAGAAAACAGTGTGCTTTTGACAGAAACCGAAATTATCCAAGGAGAAAATTATGGGGCAATCTAAGAAAGGTGTAAGCAGTAAATCACCAGTATTCATCTGAAGGTTCTGAAAAAAATTAAGTTTAAAATGTGGAGATGCAACCCTCTCAAGCAGCTATCCATGAAGAACAGAAGCACGCTAACATAGTGATTTTTTTTCGTTTCCTTTTAATCAAAAGAATCCAAGGAAGGTTTTGTTACCGACTGACTGAGTGAACTTTGCTTTAGTGAGAGGCAAGCTGCAGATGAAGTAAAAAAAAAGCATAGCAGAAGATAGAATAGTTTTTATATGGAACCATTTAATTCACTTTAAGCTAGTTTTTGAACTGATCTGTACTCACGTGACTGAAATCATGTTTATTCTCTACTCTCAGTGATACACAGATATTATGTTTATGTGCTAACTCACCAGTGTCCGTGTAGATGAAGCCACACTGCACGCTATTTCATCGGGCCTCCAGCTGTTGCAGAACATTCAGAAATGAACATTGTTCATTTTTCAGGCACACCAACAACGCTGTTGCAAGTAAAGCTGACCCAAGGAGAATTCCTCTAGAACAATTTTTATACTTACTCCCTACACTGATGCAGCAATGGCTGCTGGCACTAAGATGCTGTAAAAGTGGCTGACTTGCAATGCCAAACCCGCTGGCACAGAGATGTTACATTTCAAGAAGTCACTCTGCATTTACAAATCATAAAAAAACCTTGGCAAATAATCTACACCATCCCCATTTTCAGAGAAAAATCAGCTATACCTACTTTTTTTTTTTTTTTGGTCATAAGTTTGTCTAAGCTGATTTGTGAAACCTACAGTGATGGAAATGTCAAAACTTCCCAAGGTAGCCTACACAGGGCTTCACTCAGCTTACCATCGGTCAGCTTTTCTTCATGTCTAACCTAACTCTCCTGTGCTGCAATGCAAGCCCATTATTTCTTGCCCGATTCTCAATGGAGAATAGTTAGTTCCTCTCCTCTTCACATCAGCCTTTTATGATTGAAGAAATGATACCACATGTACCCTCATTTTTCCATCTCCCTTAGAGATCATGGTTTAAAAAGATGTGATCAGTTTTGTTGCTGAATGACTTGCTCATTCTCTTGAAGTGCGCTGTCTAATACACTACACTGACTGAGGTCTTGACAATGATGAGAAAATGTTATGATGCACATGTGAGGTAGAATGTATCCTCATTGCTACTACCCAGTGTAAACTTTGGAGCAGGGTGCCATTACTGACTGACATTCATTCTGTGGTTCATTACAGTCCATGCACCTCTGTTTTCTAATTCTAAACCTGTCTTCTTAAACCCTTGTAACCATCACTCACTTAGTACTGATACAAATTTAGTAATCAGATTCTGCTTCATCAGTCAAGCCATTAATGAGTAGAAATAGACCCATTTCTGGAACTTGACTTTCAGATGCACACTTCCTGTAGAACACTGATAATTTCTCTTTGTCGATAACTTTCCAAACACCTAAGTTGGTATGCCTGTGTAGTTTTGTTCAGACTTTATTATCCAATCTTAATTACCCAAGTCTCATGTGAATGTCAAGAGTTTTACTAAAATGGATGGTTTCCGAGAACCTATGCTGACCAAAGCATGAATGTGATACCAAATAGCTAAAGAAAAAAAGCTATAAGGAGAAAAATCACAATGAATTCGATGCTGGAGTGTAAACTGCTGTTGATGTCAAGTATCTTCTAACATGCATCCTTAACACACAGAGCTCCATCAGGAAACAAAGGAGGAAGGGATACTCACTGTCAAGCAGCTACAGTTACAGACATAACTGATGTGTAACAGTCACTATGTGGAAACAACCCTTTCTGCTGTACTACGTAGTACAAGGCCACTGATCGTATACATACAGCTAACATATTGTGACATTTAGCACTCAGTGACCTATGGTTCAGTGAGCTAGAGGAAAAAAAGAACAATACGGGAAGTATTTTCCAGGGTAAGTATCGGATCTGTATTATTTAACACAATTTTCATTTGGGAGGGAAATAGATAAGAAGATGGTGGAAAATGCAGGTTACAGATGCTTTGATGAGATTCTAAAGGGATTTAAAGATATTTAAGGATGACAGCTCTGTCTGAATGAGAACATGAACAATGTAGCATAGACTAAAGACCTTAGTAACTGAACTGTAGATTATCCTGCTAAGAACAAGAACATTTATCAAAAATATATTCACTAGAGATCTGTCAGTCTAACAAGTTAAAAATCACATGATATTTTAGAAAATTACTTCCCCCTTCTCCACAGATTATTCCTAATTAGCTGGAGAGATCCCTAATACTACCTTGAACTTGTAGCTGTGCCATTGCAAAATGCAGCATCTTTGATTTCATACAATAATCAACTGTAAATGGAGGCAGACATACGGGGAGGCTGGTGTCCGTGCTGGCCTCGTGAGAGGGGACACCCTGTCACACTCCTCCCTTCTCTGCTGCCTATCCGGCTCTCTCCAGAAGGGTAAACCTGCCATTCAGCAGGGTTGTAAAAAGGGCTCTGAAGGGTTTTCACTTTCCTCATTTGAATTTAGTCTTGACCATGTTTGGCTCTTCAAAATAACTCTGCCATTTTTAAGTTTTGAATGAGCTACTTTGGGACCAGGTTTGATTGTGATTCGGTTCCTTCACACCACACAGGCCTGTGCGTTCATCTCAGTGGCTGATGATGTCAAGAAAAGGCTTGGCAAATGTTGCATGCACAGACTAGGTTTTGGGGGAGAATTCAGACTTAGTGTCAGTCTCCCAGGTGTACAATTAATCCCATGACCCTTTTTCAGTAGGAGTCACAGGGCAACTCCACAGCTCTGTGGAACAGAATGGAAAAACATTTTTTCAATGAGACAAATCCACTTCTCTGCTAATGTTTACATTATTTTCCTACACCCATTTCTATTCCTATCAGAGATATTTGCCAGTTCTCAATGTGTCGTTAGTTACTTGTGACGTCAGCTTCATACAGGCAAGGTTTTTGCATTTGAACACAGTTAGTACTGGTTTTCAAGTCAAGCATATAAATGCAGGAAATATTAACATGCAACATTAAATGAATGAATGTGTGCATTTAATTAGCATCCTACGTCATTTATTAGCTTGAGTTTGCTTATGTCCTGCATTCACTGACTGAAGAGTGTGAACTAGTCGTAGAGATTCAATTTCTTTGAAGGAATTCGATTTTTTTAAAGTGCCTTTTTCTTCTCAACACTTTGAAATTCATTACTTGGTAAAACTGAGTGCTTTATATATATTATAATACTGTAAGTTCTTTTTTTTTGACAAATCATTGAAAAAGCAGCAGGTTGTCACACATTTAAATGTATAGTTGTACTCCTGTGCATACAACAGAACAGTATATGATTTTGCTTTCTGATCCTGAGTACATCTAAGCTCATTTTTCTTTTTCCAAAACTACCAGTTACAAAGGAAACAAAACAAAAATGAAAGAAATTAAAAGAAATTAAAGGAACTAAAAATAAAAGAGTATTTTATTATGCTATACTTTAGTTGCATGGTATGTGAAGCCACAGTGAGGCTGTCTTCTCTAGGGACAGATTACCAGCTACTGTGTTAAACATCTGCACTATTATTCAGCAGCCTTCCTGTTTCCTACAAGTTTCCTGTACGACTGAACAGCCATATGCTTAAAACACAACAGCCCAGTAACAGCTACATGTAGAAGTGAGCCTTGATTTATGGGAAGTCACTTACCAGATTTGGTCCTAAGATTCTGAACATCACCTGTGAAATGCTGATCATTTTCAAGTCTCACTGAAATCACTGGAACCTGAGGCCATTGCTGAGAAATGTATTAGGCAAATAATCTGCAATATTTATTGGGGTTAAACTTGAGAACTGCCAGCAGTAATGGCAGTTTAGGAACTCCAGGCAACAGAAGGGATACATTTATTTATCTGTCTGATTGTGCATAGCAATCAGGACCGGGTGCAAGACCTGGACAGTCAATTTATTTTATATAGGCACCTTCAGGCCAGGTATCTAAAGGCATTTAGACATTGATTCCAGTGTAAGTTCAGTGGCTGAATATCTTTAAAGGTCTGTATATTTGTGCTTAACAGAGCCCAAATTCACCTCAACAGTTACTGAAACATAAAATCCTCGTGAGCCTCAAGGGCTATACAATTAAGCAAGCTTTACCTAATCCAGAAAGATACATTTGTTTGGAGAGCAACAAGGAATTCCAGAACCAGTCTAATGCAAAAAGGGAAGAAAACCATTCCTGGCTAATCATAGGTAAAACAGATGAAGGAAAAAGTCCAGGTGAAAGCTCTAGATCACTAAAAAGAAAACAAAAGCCTATTTACAGTGTAAATAATGATAATTTGGGATGGCAAAGAAAACTGATAATAGGCAACTTATTAGCTCTTGCTTTTAACCATCAGTGCCGACTGGAGAACAAATGACCATGTGATCATCAAGAGTTCTAAAGAGATCACAAGATACACACCCTTAAGTACTTCAGAGACAGAAGGAGCTGCATGCATATGGAGGGAATCATAAACTAGGAAACTCATTGCCCCAGTGAGCCGTGAGGCAACCCAAAGACAGACTGATGATGGTAAACTGCAATGGGCTCATCCTTTTCCCTGAAAATCATGACCAAAACAATTTATTTATTTATTTATTACTCGTCCAATGGCCTGAACCTTTTTCTTGCTGAAAAAAGAATACTGCAAGGGAGAGATTCTGGACCACTATTAACCTACAAGAATGCAGGTGGTTACACCTGAACAAAATCCTATAATAATACACCGGAGCATGTAGCAGACATTATTCAATCTAAATCAACCAAAGTTAGCATGAAAGTTAACATAATTTTATGAGCATACACTGAAAAAGAAATACCATTCTGGAGAAGTTGATGGTGATTTAAAAAAAATATCTTCTTAATGGAATAATACTATCTTGTTACAGTCAAGCAAGTCATTGATTTCCTCAGAGAACTCTTAAGAGGTGTAAAAGAACCTGCATTCATATGCTATATAGGTAGCGCATAAAATAACAGAAATAAGAACAGGAAGAAGTGCTGAGATGTCCTCATGCCTATGCCACAGCAGGAGAGATCTCATAACTCCTAGTCACTGAAACTTGCTAATCAAAGGGATTAATCCAGCAAAAGCAGCCACGTCTCCTAGAACACTATTGGAGAGACAGACTTAGACAACAGCTAAAGATGTAACAGATCCCCCTTGCCTCTCATACCCAAGAAAGTGCCAGAAGGACATTTGTCTGGAGTGACTCCATTGGTAAGGAAGGTTAAAATACCCTTCCTCTACAAAGAGGAGGGCACCACTATTATGGTTTACAGTATTCCTAGGCTTTCTGTCAGTGACTTGTCCATCTGCTTTTTACAACTATTCTCCCTGTCTCATTGCTGGTCTGCATGGAGCTTTACAGACACAGAAGGGTAACTTTCTACTCTTGAGAATTTAATAACATGCACTGCAGTCAGTTCTGAAATGCTGAGCACTTGCAATCCTGTCCACAATCTACAGTGTTCTGGGTACTTCCGAGAAGCGCACAGAAACAGGAGAGCAATCCAGGACAAACAGCACAGCAAATAAATCTAACTCCGCTAACTGGGAGAACACTGAGATGACTAAGCTGGTGTGGGGACTGGCTAACCCACAGGTGCTTATCCTCAGAAAATGCCAGATTCCCTAAGAGCTGGCTGAATCATGATGACATCCTGCTCCTTTCAGATCTTATTGTGTGGAAAATGACTTCTGTTAGATAATAGACAGCAAAGGATTCAACTCACCAGTGCTCTTCACCGCCAAAATCAGAAGTAGAGCAGCTGCTCATAAGCTGAGGATCTGCTACACAGGCAGTGCTGTTTTTCAATCTTGTGTAGTTTTTACGAACAATATATCCCCTGAAAGCTAAAAAAAACATAGTTATAAATCAGAGAAAAATTCTGCAGAGCCTGAAACGCAGACTGCCACCTGGTTCTGTCCTCAATTTCTACGGAACCAGTGGAAAGAAAAAACACTTAGCACCTCACAGGTGTGGCTCCAATGTTTGCAATGTTTACAACAGCTGGAAATTATACAGGGCCTTATACTCTCACTGTTATAGTGACCACTTGGCACAGCCCAGGCAAGGAAAACAAGCCTCAAAATGAGAACATGCTTAATTTAAATCGGAATCCAGCTTAGAAAGTATTAAAATACGTAGTAGAAAATCACTTCCAAAACACTTTCTTTAATCCCAACTCCCATGATTTGAGCTTGTCAGAATTTTACAGAATCAGAAGTTTTACCTGCTTTTATTGTGGGGTACGGGAATGGGGAGCCAGGGGCAGATATATTCAATTAAAACTAGAAAAATAAATCACAGAATGGTCAGGGTTGGAAGGGACCTCTGGAGATCACCTAGTCCAACCCCCCCTGCCAGAGCAGGGTTACCTACAGCAGGTTGCACAGGACGGCATCCAGGTGGGTTTTGAATGTCTCCAGTGTGGGAGACTCTACAACCTACCTGGGCAGCCTGTTCCAGTGCTCTGCCACCCTGAAAGTAAAGAAGTCCCTCCTCATGTTTAGATGGAACTTCCTATATTCAAGTTTGTGCCCATTAACTCTTGTTCTATCAGTAGGTACCATTGAAAAAAAGACTGTTGTCATCTACCTGGCACCCTCCCTTTAAGTATTTATAAGGATTGATAAGATCCCCCCCCTCAGTCCTCTTTTCTCTAGACTAAAAACACCCAAGTCCCTCAGCCTTTCCTCGTAAGAAAGATGCTCCAAACCCCCAGTCATCTTCATAGCCCTTTGCTGGACCCTCTCCAGCAGTTCCCTGTCCTTCTTGAACTGGGGAGCCCAGAACTGGACACAGTACTCCAGATGTGGCCTCACCAGGGCAGAGTAGAGGGGAGAACGACCTCCCTTGATCTGCTGGCCACACTCTCCTTGATGTACCCCAGGATGCTATTGGCATATAAATAATGTCTTCTCCTATTTTTCTATTAACTGTAACCATAATAAAACACTTAAAATAACTCTCATACAAATAAACAGGAAAAAATATACAGAGGTTGGAATTTATACCATTCATAAAAAAAAAGATCTGAACAAAACAATCACTAGAACCACTAAATGAAGTAGCAAGCATGCAATGAAATTAAATGGTAAAGAAAACGGCAACGAATAACATTTTTAGGATCTCTGCATCCTTTATTTCCATGGACTGTCTCTGGATTTGGGTACCTAAATAACTAACTTAGTTCTACAGTTTTATCTGACATGAATTTGCTTGAATTCTTGACACCTGCAAGCAGTTAGTAGCAAAGCCCCAGCAAAAACCACAAATAGTGATACATGCTGCACTTAGGACAAAAGACTAAAATGCATTGCAATGTACACTTCAACTCACAAATCTTTAAATTTTATTTCTTGTAGGGTTTATTTCAAGCATGACTTTAAGCAGAAATACCTTGATAAAAAGGGGAGAAAGGGCTGAATGAGGAAGAAAGTAAGTACAGTTTTAATGCCATAGTTGAAATGTACAACAAGCAGCTGCTGAATAAGGAGGCTGCGGGTTGTGAGGGAAAGGAGCTGTTTATTAGTCTAGCAGGACTGCAATTTAAACGGTGAGTCAATAAATTAAAGAAAACGGGAGCTAAGATGGGGAAATATTATGATTTTGAGGAAAAAAAATCCCCGTCTAGGAAAAGCTTTTAAGTACACCAAACGTAGTGAGTCAATAAATTAAAGAAAATGGGAGCTAAGATAGGGAAATATTATAATTTGAGGAAAAAAAATCCCTGTCCAGGAAAAGCTTTTAAGTACACCAAACGTGCAAAAGTGGAGTCAGTCTGGGGACTAATTACTCACAGGAGGAGAAGAGCCCTCTCATTGGGGTTTCTAAAGTCCAGGGTTAAATATTACAGTGGGATGCAGGACAGGCACAGAAATGAGGTGTGGAGCAAGCCAATGTAGGCTCAGGGTCAAGATAACAAATAACATATAGACAACAATTCCCTTTACAAAGGGAAATCAGGAAGTAGAATAAATATAGAATATAGAATAAATTGAGAACAGAGAAGATTAACAAGTTTTCCCTGTATCTCATGCCTCTGATTTTATGGCAACACTAGAAAGTAGGCATTACCTACACAAGAGAGAATAAAGACCCTGTAAAATTTGCAATCCCTCAATTATTACCAAATTATGAGATAATTGATTGATTTCCCTTTTCTTCCATTTAACTACTCTTATAAATTTAGGTTCCCATTCATGGGTTTTTTTACATAATGAAGAGATGGTGGAGGAAACAAAACAGAGCTATCTTGACTGCATCCGCCCTTTCCCTTAGGAAAGGGCTGTAACTAATCCCTTCTCTTGTAACTCCTGTATAGTGTTAATGGTCTTCTTTTCAGCCACCTACCTCCACAAAAATATGTTGTGTCGCACTTATTTGTGCAGTAGAAGAAAATTAAAACCATCTGAACAGTTCAAGCTGTATGCAACGCACCATAACAATCTAAGCATTTCACTGCTACTGAGGTTTCCAGGGTAAGAAGCAGTAAAAATTGCCTTTTAATGAGAGGTTACTAAAATAAATAACCATTCACTTTACAGAAGGCATGACAGAAGTCAGGCCTGCTGAGGTGTTGTGCCGAATACAGAGCTCAGGTATCGTGAGGCTGAGGAACTTTGTGCCCTTAATAATCAGACTGGAAAAGTCTGCCTGTCTGGCAGAGAGGAGGCAAGCATTCACTTGCCCCATGTGATCAGGCTTCCAATCCTTAACTATCCCCTACTGACCAGACAAGGAGCCTACTCCGATATTGGCAGCAGAGACAGCTGGCCAGCAGCCACCACTCTGCAGCTGAAACATGCTGAGTATCAGTCAGTCACCGGGCTACCATAAAGATAAAGAAGCACTGAAACAAATGAACTAATAACATAAACTTCAGTTTTGTCCTTAGTAATTTCTCCACTTTCAGCAGTTCTTTGAATGTGTGTCTGCGTCTATAAAATCAACCCTGACACCTACTGTGATTTTATTTTTTAAAATTCTTTTTCTTTTTCCCCAGAGACTCTTGTTAATATCAGTATAACCATTTTGGTCTTTCCCTCATTCCCTACAAATACCATGCTATATCTGATTTAACAAACATAGTTTTTACCCTGTCTTTTGTTTTCATACATATTTTCAAAATCAGCTCCTCTTCAACTTAACCTTTCTGCAAGGCGGTTTCTAACATTCTTCCTGAATCTGGCAGGTAAATGGCTGTATTTTTCCTACTTTCCCTTTGACTCATGGGATAACTGAAGTAGCAGGATAAACAAACTTCTCTCTCTCTCAAAAGCTTCATCCAGCATTAGTAGGACTACATCTTTTCAACATTTATTAACTGGATCTATAATGTTTCAAAAGAAATGCATATGCAGAGAATTCTACTGGGGGAGTCTGAGAGGCTGGGAAGCTGCTCCATCACAGCAATTTGCATTACTGACTGGTGCTGGTTTTGACACTAAGCACTTGGCTCAAAGAGTGTGAAATTAGCAGACTCATGTTGCTATTGCTCCATGAACAATCACTGCATCATTGAAGAAGAATGATTACCAGCTGTCACCTCATTTTCACCTTATCCAGTCTATATTCCAAACTTTCCAGCAACAGTGTCTTTAACCCTGATCTTTACAGTCAAAGATGACAAGATGAAAAGCAACATAGGAACTGAACTTAATTTTAGCAATTCTATTAGTAACTCAGTGTTAAATGTTTCACGTGCCGCAATTTAGGACATGAATTTTTACTTCTTTTACTGATCAGTTCTCACACAAAGCAAGTTTTCTGTCAGCTCCAGCACCTAGCAAACCAAGAATATATTTACCTCAGGGAGTCTGAAATTTGGTGTCTTGCAGTTAAAAACCTTCATTTTAAGGTCTCAGTACCAAGGCATATACATTACATACAAAGTTGCACAATTCCAGATAGGAAAAGTCCAGGCATTTTCCCTCTGATTCCCATAGGAAATATATAGTTACAGAGCAAATTATGAAGCCCAATGTAGAAAGATCAAAGCTAAACAATCACAGGTCTATACAAGAAGACTAAAGAAAGGAGATGAAGTAGTATTTTAAACAGCAGAAGGATTCATTCTCAGTCATAAAAAATCATGTTCAACAGACATTTTCTACATAGACACATTTTTAATCTATAACATCACTTAAAATAGCATATAACAGCAACTCAGAAATGAAAGCTCATGCTTGCTGAAGATACCATGATAGCTTGTAATCAGAAGTTGATTTGCTACGAACAGCATATCACTTTCTTAATTCGCCTAGTTAAAAAAGCATTCAGCAGCTTAACTAACAACATCTGAGAGGATTTGGAGCCCATGAATCTGATTCTTCACTCCATGACAAATTAATTCTAATGAACAGTAAAAGGGATGGAGAGTCACATCCTTTGCTGGGTCTCATGAATACCTGCCCTCTTTCACCTCTCCAGATGGATATTGGGTGATGTCGTTTAACAGCAGAAAAAAAACCCCACCAACTCTTGTCATAAGTTCTCCAGCAAAAGCATTACAAGAAAGCAAGTCACGAGTTCTCAGGTACAAGCAGTAACCACCAGTGACAAGCAGTGACTATTTGGAAGACTTACCAAGGCTGCCATCAGGACTGGTGTCACTGATGCACATCACCACTTGGACATACGGTTTTTAATTACCATGCATTACAGTCTCTGATCCTGAGACTTGGTCAAAGAAAAAAAAGTGAAGATGACTGTGAAACTGTTTGTCAATATCAGCAAGGGAAAGGAATAGGTTTTCCAGCATACTGTTGGACAACGTACGTTGTTGTCCCTTTCTGATTTTAGCAAGGGCATGAAATCCAGTAAGAATGATCTCCTTTGCATCTCCTTA